GGACCATTTTCAAAAACTATTATTCCCATATGTCAGTTAGATATAACATGGGAAAGGAGTGTCCAGGTTGAAAGAAAAAAAGTTACCCTTTAAGTAGAACAAGTATCACCCATTAAGTGACCAATCCATTAAATACAGTTTATTAGAGCTGCAATTATTGGCTGATTAATTGACAGAACTATTTTCGTAATTGATCAATTGTTTGTTGAACATCAGATGGTTCCAGCTTCTCAAATGTGAGAATTTGCAGCATTTCCTTGTCTTAACATTGTTGTGAACTGAATTGTGGTTTTTGAGTGTTGGTTGGACAAAACAAAACTTTTGAGGACATCACCGGATGGACATTTTTCTGATGTGTTATAGGCCAAATGATTTAACATTTTTTGAGAAAATAAACAGCAGAGTAATTGGTTTTGAAAGTATTCAGTTGCAGCCCTGCAGTTTATTTGTCACTGTCGTGAGAAAATATAGGCTAGTGATTTGTCTGAAATTCATTCAGTGACAACAGTCTGTTGCATCAAGTTTCCTTGCCTTGGGCTACATAAAAATGATCCCACAGAGTTCCACAAAGTGTGTTATACAGATTTCAAATTTGATAAAAAAAAGACAGATATTGAACCAGTATATTGGTCAATACCCTGAGCTGAGGTATTGTAATTTGTATCAGGAGACTGTGTCCCATCTTAGTACAAAAGTGGATCAAATCATGGTGCATTTTACAGGACAGTTTGGAACTTAGATCTTTGTTAGACAAATTCTGAGACTATATGCACTCAACATCTTCTATTAACGATATATTTCAGAAGATAATTACTCAGGTAACGGGTTTGTCCAATAGTAATGTTAATGCAATTGCATTTTTCACCAATAAGGCACATATAGATGCTCTGTTTGTTGCAATGCTTGAGTGAACCGTTAAAGGTCCGGTGTGTGGGATTTAGTGCCACCTAGTGGTAAAGTTGCAGAACTACCATGTGTCAGGCATGTAGGAGAACTGAGGTGGCTGATATGAAAACGCGAATGGCCCTGTCTAGAGCCACTGTTGCTTATTCTGGGCTACTGTAACAACATGACACACAGAGAGGACCCACTCTGTATGTGGATATAAGGCTGTCTGAGTCAATGTTTTCGTTTAAGTCTCTCCAAAAGACATACTTCTTTTGGAAATCATAACCTGACTTTATCTGAACTGTCTGTCTATTTTATTGATAACTTATTGATGTTACCTCCCATTTATTATCTTGATTTTAGTTTTGGCCTTCCTTATTTTGTCTTTTACGTTGTTGACATTTTATGACATGTTATTTGTTTTATTGTCTTTGTGTTTAAAATGTGTTTAGTTTTATTGTGCAGCACTTTGCAACTGTGTTTTGAAAGGTGCTTTATGACTAAAGTGCATTATTATTGAAATTACATAAATGGTTCATTCTACAGAAACTAAATTCCAAATATTCTTATATTCAGGTAATTATGACCTAATTAATAAATAGTTATGAATATAATATACAGTTGTTGCCAACAGATGCCCCTGAACACTGGACCTTTAAATTTCCCAGGTCATATTTCATGTTGGGGTTTTATCAGGATATATGTGCATGCTTTACAACTTGTTTCATTTACAGTGGCTCTTTCTGAAGATCTGAAGCACCTTATCACATTAAATGGTGAAAAACAGTAAAAAGCTCAATATGCTACTTTTAATGTTTTTGTCTAGATGTAGAGATGGATGTTTCTCCCTTTGTCAGACATGCTTCCCACCCATAAGCATTTGTTCAGACCCTGTAGGTAGGACAGACTGTACATAAAAGATTTGACATGATAAATAAAGATTGCTGGTTCTTTTCTATTACAACACCCACGTGTTTAAGAAAATGAGCGGTGGAAATGGTGACAGGCCGTTATGACTCTTATAACAGGCTTATTACTGCAGATACAGTGTAATAGCTCATTCTAATAACAAAATGTATATGATCCGCTGAACAGCTGTTTTCTCAGTCTGCCGGATAGGCTTCACTGTGTGACTTGAATTAAAGCCAGCTGTGTTTTACATCCAGCCATCCAGGCTTTATAACGGGCTTATAACGGTGCATTAAAGGTGAATTAAAAACCGTCACACGTGAGTTAAAAATAATAATCAATGCGATTAAAATGCAAATTACCTTCTTCTCCATACTGATCATAAACTTCTCTTTTCTTCGGATCACTGAGGACTTCATATGCCTCAGCGATTTCCTTAAATTTCTCCTCGGCGGCTGCAGACTTGTTTTTGTCCGGGTGCCATTTCAACGCTTGTTTTCTGTATGCTTTCTTAATATCCTCATCTGTAGCTCCTTTAGAGATACCCAACGTTTTATAGTAATCTTTGCCCATTTTTCACGTCTCCCAGATAATAAGGAATAAAAAAAAGGAGGAGGATAGCCCTGGGTGAGGAGCTGGCAGACTGGGCTGATGGTCGACGGATGGTTGTCACAGCAGTGAAGCGGCCTCAGTCTGGACTAACGAACAATAAGTAGCCCCAGACAGATACACAGTGCAGGATGAAAACCATTTAGAGGCGGTTAGTCAACGCCGTGGACCTTCTGCTATTTATCCGTGACTGGATGACCCTCTTTAAATAGCCTCGGCTACCTCCTCCCCTGCATCCACAGCGCCAGCGTCAAGTTAGACACAAGGAATAATTCTGGTTCCGGTGAGCGCAGCCCCGGTGTGTGTGTGTGTGTGTGTGTGTGTGTGTGTGTGTGTGTTTTGATATTAATCAGAATGGACCACAAAATGATCATCATCATCAATGGCCGGACTAACCAACTTTAGGGTCCTGGGGCAAAAATGAGCTGCTGGCCCCCCTATTAACCCCCCTGTCTGCTATGTGGACAGGATTATAAAAATAAATACAAGTTAATCTAGTAATAGGCACCATGTAAGTGCAATATCAAATGAAAAATCTTAGGTCTTAATATAGATTTTTGACACAGGATCACTCTTCAACATGGGGCCTTGAGACCAGGGGAGGCCAAAGTGAAACCAGAACCTCAAAGTTCAGTTCCAGATGTAGGAAAACCTCAATTAAAATCTCGTTGACATTTGTAACAATTCTAATAATTAAAAATACAGCCTGTGGACAGAGTCTTTTAATTAATTAGTAGGTTGTAGGACTCGTTCATGTGTTTAAATAAGGACGATAGCCTTTTGAAAAAGTATCTGATATTATTGTCAATTGCTAGCTGGTAGAGAATATTTTAAGACTTGTAAGACTCATAGTTTATTCCAGTGACTTTATATAAAGATTGATGACGTGTCTCCACTTCCACTTACTGCACAAAAATTAAGCCAAAATATCGCGAATACTGATGCAACCATTGTGCACTTGTAATTTCATTTGGAGCCAGAGTCGGCGCAGTAGCAATCATCACAATATCAAGTTCCAGCCAACCTATTGCGAGCAGCACCTTTGCTTGCCAGCACACAGATTTGCACACAACTGTCGATCATGACATCACAAACCCCCTTTTTATCAGGTCTACATCAAATGCTACGTTCTAATGGCGTGTGTTTACTGTATTCACGAGAACAGTCCATGAACGCCACCCCTGTCGTGCTATTCATGACCTCATAAGTGGAATTATTCAGAGAGATCCTAGTTCACAAGTTCATGTTCACGACTTCCCATGTCGTTCCATTTGAACACAGCAGAATAATTAGTTTTAACCAAACTTATCAGAACAATGAACACTGAACATATCAGCGTGATAAGAACTGCCTAAAATGACAGAAACCATCTTTGGGAAAAACTTATTTGACGTTTACCTTGATCTTTATAGTTTGGCCCATGTCCCATCTGCTGACATGAGGGGTAGAGATTTATGACCTATACTTCAGCCAACCACCAGGGAGTGATGGAGGAGCTGTCATGTCGTCTATCTTTATCATACAGCCAATGGTATATTCTTATAAATGATTCATACCTGAAGATAATAAATAGTTTGAGCTACCAGGGGGCATTTTATTTTGAAAGCTGGCTAATGCTGCGTGTCATTCACTGTACACATTCAGGTGTTTATTATGTTATAAACATGTTAGAACCTAAGGAACGACTATGGGAATACTGTAGAAATGCCAGGATGCTTACTCATTCATTCATTCATTCATTCATTCATTTTCCATAATCGCTTACCCTGTCGGATGCTTACTCATTTAGATATAATTATATTGTGTGTAGGCTACTGTATGATCACTATAGCTCACTTTTTAGTTTCACATACACAATAAATCACCATAAGAATAGGCCACTATTCATGTGAAGTCTGTTAATTGTACAGCATGTTACAAACTACAAATATTAACAAAGTGTACCCCTGCAACAAATGAACCTGTGAAATGTGCATGTTTATGTGTAAAATGTCCCAAAATCAATGTAGTGATTTAATTTAATACCTGTGAAATGTGCTGCACATGTGATTTCACATGTGAACAGGTGTTTTCACATGTTTTGCCATTGTTTTGTTTTTATGTAGATCCTAATTAGCCACTCTAACAACAACACTGGCTATTTCTCCTGGAGTCCATATAAATATATTTACAATATTTAGTTGAAATGTCTGATACCTATGCAGATTTACATATGATAAACATGACAATTGTGATCAACTAATGATTTTTTATGGTATTTCTATTTATTTAAGGGGAGTTAATGGGAGGTAAAGGTGATAAGATGTACAGACAGTATATTTAGAGGTATGCAGACATTATTTTATTTATTTATTTATTTATTTATCTGGGCTTGGTTAGGATGGGGTTTGTATATTTAATATCTAAGACTGCTGTTTATTTATATATATTAATGGTTGCAAATAAGTTTGGGATAGTTTTCTGTTTAAATGAAACATGAATACTGAGAGGGGGGACAGGATTATATAAGTTTACACTCTGTTGATGCTTTGTTTTTATTCATTCTTTCATATATGTATTTATATATTTCTTTCTGTCCTTTCCCATCTTTACAGATCCTGGGCCCGTGTTGGATTAAATGTTTAGTTACATCTGTTTGTTTATTTGTGAATATTTGGACTGTCATTGTAAATGAATGGAAAATGGAATAGGCAATTGTGCACAGCAAACCATTCACCAATAAAGGCAGAATATAGATATTATGCTGTTGATCTTGCTTCTTTTTAAATGTACACTGTTTTTAAGTTATAATTATAATCCCCTGTCTGTCTCTGAGCTGCCCCACATGTAGAGGAGGGGGCACAGTGATGTCTAAAGAAGATGGTGATGATGTTGAGCTGTGCTCTCTTGCAGCCGCAGCGCCACCTGCTGCACCACAGAGGAACTGAGCTTTTCTCTTTGAGCTGCTTACAGAAAGCGCCCATGCAGCACTGGCACTGAGCCCTGCCAATGAGTCAGCGTCACAGCAGAGCTGCAGGTCAATCGTTTCTGATGATGATTATCAATGCATTTACATCTCACTGAATGATACAGGCTGCATGCTTTTCAGCATCTTAATTTCTAGTCTGGAGCTAATTTGTTGCTAAAGAAACCATGGATCAGTTTCGGGGTTTATTTGCTAAACTGGATCAAAATAAGGATGGGTTCATATCAGTGTCGGAACTTCACAACGAAATGAAGAAATATGGGATCCTCTCAGCGGATGGAAAGGTCCAGGTAATATTCTTATTGTCTTTGTTTTGTATACTGTATGTGCCGGGCTCTAATTTCATTCATGCATTCACCACAAACCTGCTAACTGAAGAGGTTTTTGTCTTCTCCTAGAATATCATTGACTCTTATGACAAAGACAAAGATGGCCTGTTGGATTATAAAGAATTCCTCAGCTACATGATGGACAGAGAAAAGAAATGGAAAATTTACTTTCATGACCTTGACAAGAACAAGTGTGGTGAGTGGTCAGAGACTTACCTCCTAGAGAATGTTTTATTTATCAAGGAAATATAAGGAAGTGCTACAAAGTGCAATAGCTTTACTGAATAGGCCTACATACTGTAACACTATGTGATGATTTTTTAATATGGTTTATAATATAGTTACATTTCCTGTTTGATCTCCTTTAGTTAGCATGCTGTGTGTTTACTACTGTTGTAGAAGGTGGGTACTCCCACCTGTACATATTCTTCATAGACTCTACCATAAATATGAATTCTTTTACAATAAACTGTATTTTCAAGGTCAGACAGGAAAGACTACTTGTTTATGGTACACAGTAGACAATAGGACACTAAACAGCACTGCAGGCTGTGACCCTTGCACTCAGTTTACACTATCACTTCTCAGAAATATGATAACTACAAGAGCAGTACCAGTTCCTGTTTGTAATCATGTGCATTTCTTCTCTGATCAGGAGTGATTGACCAGGACGACATCATATGTTTGTTTAAGGAGCTAGGAGTGGTCATATCAAAGCCGAATGCAAAAAAAATAATTCAAATGTAAGATTTGTTTTTTTGCCCACTACCTCATGGATTCATTGTTGTATTTGAAGAAGTATTTCGTTCATGTGTAATATAAACTCTTTACAGTTGTAGTACTGGGTTCAACTGAGTTTAGAATACACTGAAGCACATATTCACACTCACACTGCCCTTATATCACTGTACAATAAAGTGCACTAATGATATAGTGGCTTGATAAGTTATCACAGATTACTTTATAAATGGTTATACATCTATTCATGCACCGTGATCAGTAATATACACCACAATACAAGTAAAACAAGTTTGAATAACCAGAGGTGTGGATATAAATTATGACTTGGATTTGAGCCAGACTCAAGTCACAAATTTGATGACTTGCAACTTGACTTGGACTTACACGCCAGGGACTTGTAACTTCACTTGGACTTGACCCTTTTGACTTGAAAATCCTTGATACCTTCCCCCAAGCCCAAAAATGTAAAAGTATGTTATTTAAAAAGTGTGTGCCACGGATCAATTCTTTTCCCCTTAATTTCCCCTATCAATAAATGTAAACAGTATTTATTTCCAGCCAACACTTAATACAACACTTAGTTCTCCAGAATCGCATTGTTTGAACCACTCAAAAGGCATCCAATTAAGTTGCAGGAGAGGACCATACAGACCTAACGTTACATTACTGAGCGCTGGTTGGAAAACATCATACCAAGGCTAATGTTACCAAAGACAATTTTGTTCATGTACAAAAACTAAATGGTGGTCGATAAAACATGAATTGCAGAATGCAAAATATGCGGGTTGAAATTACAGACAAAGATGCAACAACTTCCAATAAACTTAATGTAACAAATAAATAAAAATGTACAAAAATCATTCATGAATCTTGTACATTTAATATATTATTACTCTGTTATTAAAATAGAATTACATTTGCTGAAAAGCGCATTATGACCTGTTTAAAGTTTAAGACTTTGGACTTGACTTGGGACTTAGCTGCCTTGACCTGCGACTTGACTTGGGACTTACCTGTCTTGACTTGGAACTTGACTCGGTACTTGTCAGTCTTAATGTGAGACTTTGCTCTGGACTTCTCAGTCTTGACTCAGGACTAGACTTGGGTCTTGGCTTAGGACTTGTCAGCCTTGACTTGGGAATTGACTAAGGACTTGACAGTCTTGACTTGGGTCTTGATTTAGGACTTACTTGTCTTGACTTGAGACTTGCCTATCTTGACTTGGGAGTTCACTTAGGATTTGCCTGTCTTGACTTGGGATTTGACCAGGACTTCTCAGTCTTGTCTTGGGACTTACCTGTCTTGACTTGGGACTTGTCAGTCTTGACTCTGGACTTGACTTTGGATTTGCCTGTCTTGACTCAGGACTTGCCTTGGGACTTAAGAATAGATGGATGGTTTATTGCCCTGAGGCGTTCTCCAGTTTAGACTCACTAACAGGCAAACCTGTGTCTTTCTATATTCTCATGGCCCATTACTGATTAATACTGACTTTATCAACAAACTCTCAAACCCTTTATTAATATGCCTTTTTGTAAAGTGATATCAGGATGATGTTTTAGAGGCACTTTGATGACAAAAGCTGATCTTTAAGATTCTTTCATTACAGTACATGATCAAACAAACCAACACGTATTTATCCACCAGGATGGATAAGGACAGTTCCATGACAGTAGACTGGGGTGAATTCCTGCACCATGTCATCCTCAACCCTGTGGACAACATCGGAGAGCTGGTGTCGTCATGGAAACACAATCTGGTAAGATCTTCTGGCAGCGTCACAGCCGTGTTTCTTTTGATGATGGTGTGCAGAAAACAATGACACATCCACTTAAGCATGAGCAATAACAGAATGATTAAAGGATGATGAATGTAATTGCTCATTTCGTCCTTCTGTAGGTTTTCGATGTGGGTGAGAGCCGAGCAATGCCCATTGAGTTCCCCGAGGAGGCGTCAGATTTTGGTGCGTGGAGGACGTTTGTTCTGGCTGCAGGACTGGCAGATGCTGTATCCCGAACTGTGACAGCCCCAATCGACCGCCTTAAGACCCAGCTCCAGGTCAGCTCCACTCTCAGGTGCTGCTTTGTTACTGAGATGCATGGGTGGATGTAATCGGCTTTTCATGAGCTGACACATTTATGAATGTGTGTACCCAAAAAGGTGTTACTTGCAACACTGGAACAGTAAATCAGACTAATCTGATATGCAGAAACAACACCTAAGATAACACCTCCTAGCATGCATGACACTGACCCAACTGTTGTAATAGCTGACAACTTTAATTTTCTTCTTGTAAACATCACTTTGGGTATGGGTACATGAAATCCATGGAAGCACAATGAGCTTTGGGATACAGACCATCTCACTTCAACTTCCTGTGAGATAGCGGAAGTAGCAGTAAGCTAGTTAGTCCCAGAGACTGTCTGGGGTTAGTCCCAGTGGCTACTCTTGGTGGCTAACTGCTAACGCTGGTTCTTTTCGAAAGTAATTTGCCTTCAGTTTAGCAAATACTGATTGATGATGAATGATGATTCTTTTCTGTTTTTTTTTTTTTTTTTTACAAATATTTAACTAATATTAACTTAGCATTTTCTAAAATGTCTTTGCGGAGCTGTGGTACCTGTTGCACTGTGTGTGTCTGTAACAACTAACAACCAGTCTGACTTCATTCTCAACCTACATTAGAAAATTTCTCGTTCTAAAATAAACTCACCAACAAACCTTGAAGTATGTATTTATTCATTACGCCTGAGAATGTGTTACTGATTTACTGTACTTCCTTTATATCATAGAAAAAAATGAATGCCAAAAGTTATTTATTTTACTGCTAATTTATATTACTATTACTGAAGTCTGCTGCTAAATTCAGCATCACGTTTCGCTCAGAGCTACAGTTAATCCTGAATTATGTTAAATGTTTGCCGAATGTGTTAGTATCTCTTAATAAGACATCAGAAATCAGAAATCAGAAATCATCTTTAGGGGGCATCAGTGGCTTAGTGGTAGAGCAGGCGCCCCATGTACAAGGCTGTTGCCGCAGCGGCCTGGGTTCGACTCCAACCTGTGGCCCTTTGCTGCATGTCACTCCCTCTCTCTCTCTCTCTCTCTCTCTCTCTCTCTCTCTCTCTCTCTCTCTCTGTCTCTCCCCCCTTCACACTTGTCTGTCCTATCAAATAAAGTCAAAAATGCCCCCAAAAATATCTTTAAAAAAAAAAAAAAGAAATCATCTTTAGAAGGAGCAGCTGTTTACCTAAGCTAGCTCAGGCCATGTTAAAGTTAACAATATTTTAACGGAGCAAGGCAAGCTAATTGCTAGCTTGCGCAGTTGAATGGCAGATGGCAGAGGTATGATCACATAATCCCGTTTGAGCTATAACACGTGGTGTGTTCCACGTTTTATTTCCCAGTTGTGCTGGGAAAGAAGAACAGTGTACTGAAACAAACTTTTACCATTGGAAATTGCAGGTTTTGGTTCAGTGCCTGAAGTTGCATCCATAATTCATGCAAGGTGTCATGGGGGCTTGGAATAAGGCGGATACTTGTTTGGCTTGGTAATATGACTGAGAAAATGTGAGAACAGTACAAACCACAATAAAATATTAACAGATTAGACGTTAAATGCTCCTCCAGAGACATTAACCCCACCATAGACGCATTCTTCTCTTTTTAGGGGGCAAGGGATCTTTAGGGGAGGTAGCAGGTCAACAGTGCCACATGGAAGTGGTCTCCATCATGTGAAAGCAGGGGACCTTAGATGCTGTTGAAAGCTCCGAATACATGTAATTGGTCCTTTGAGCTCATAATATTGTGTTACATATACTGCTCCTAAAGGTCGACAATGAACTTCCGTGGTTAGACCCGCATGAAGTCGTTGAATGTCTTTGGAGGAGCATTAAACATCTGATCTGATGTTCTTTCATGTGGTTTTCCAAGCCAGACAAACACAGCTCAAACTGCAAAGACTGAAAACTTGCGTCTTGATCCATGTCATAAAGTGCTGAACCTGTATTACTGTGCGGTGTCAGTGATTAAAGATAACCTGTTATCAGCTCGCCTACCTTGTTTTACATAATTTGCCTTTTGTTGATACTGGAAGAGCATTCAGTTCACAGTTTATTGCATAGAGCCAAACATTTACATGTATGATTTACATGTATGAGAAAGAGACCGGCCAAAGGGTTCATAAGTTTCGTCACATGTTTTATGTGCTGTTGTCTTGCAGCTGCTGGCATTCAGTGTTTCTCAATGTTGTATTTTATACACTTAATGCATCATAAGTATCCCTGAGAACGAGCTCAGTCTATGAAACATGTGTTTCTCTGTAGATGACACAAGAGATTGACAGCAGTATCTCACAATTGCTAGTCTCTGTTTTGTTTTATACTGTTGCTCTAAAAAAAGTGACACCTTGTTATTGTGTTATCAACAAATACTTTTCAGGAAGCATCATCACCTTGTTGCACATTTATTGTATCTGTCTATGAAGGTGATTCATGTGAAACTCTTCCCTGTGTGTTCTGTAGGTTCATGGATCCAAGGCCTTCTCCCAAGGCTTACAGGAGATGAGAGCAGGTGGTCTGCGGTCAATGTGGCAAGGCAACGCTGTCAACGTGCTGAAGGGAACACCGCAGTCAACGCTACAGTGTCTTATCTACGCCCAGGTGAGGCAAACAGCAGCAGGTCGACTCTGTGGTGTGAATTATTCATGCATCAGTTTCCTGTTTCTAACTGACAAGCACACTCAGAGCTTCTCTACTTTGTCCAGATGAAGGTGTACACCCAAAACAGAACCCAGGAGACTCTGACGGTGCAGCAGCGTTTCGGCCTGGGTTGTGTGTCTGGTGCTGTCGCTCATGCTGCCTTCTACCCTTTAGAGGTATTAGAGATCAGTGGCAGGTCTGAGTGCTTTAATATATCTGTCCTGTCCTATGTTTTGATATAACAGCTTTACATCAACATTGAAATGTCATGTCATTGTCAGTTTAATCATGAGTCCTTGGTTTAATTTTTGCAAACAAATGAAAATACTATGGCGATAATTGTGTAGCATCTAACAATTAAAAAATATAATGCACTTGGGTGCTTTAGGCAATCATCAGTTTTGGGGTACATGTACTTTACTAGTACTAGTTAGTATTTAAATTTTATGCTTCCTTATACTTCTACACCACTACATTTTGGAGGCAATTATTGTACTTTTCATGTCACTACATTTACTGGACAGCTTTAGTGATGAGTTAATTTGCAGATTATGAATCCAAAATATATATCAGCCAATAAATCATGATATGCTATTATAGATTATGATGAGATGACAAATGAGCTTCACCTTAACCAGCTGCAAAATTAAGATTGTAATATTAAACATTATTCTGAAACATAATTTTGCTTAATGAGTACTTTTACTTTTGGTACTTTAAGTATATTTTATACAAGGGCCTAAGTTGAGTTTCAACACTGGGGGTCCTCTCCCAATTTTGAGCATCAAACATCCACATGTGAGGGGGACCAGTCCCCTGAGTCCATCCTGAAATCTATACCTATATTTTTGATGCTAATACTTCTGTACTTTTACTTAAGTAAATTTTAAATACAGGTCTTTTACTTGCAACAGAGGATTTTTTTTACACTGTAGTATTACTACTTTTACTTATGTAAAAGACCTGAGTACTTCTTCCACCACTATTGGGCGACAATAATGTGCACAAAGAGATGGAAAAAAATCTGCACACTGCTATCTTGTAGCCTTATTCATGGGCACAAACATTTAATGTATAATAAGAAAAGAATTGGTAAAAATGTTAACTTTCACTTAATTCGAGAGGTGAAACAAGAGGTGAATATAGAATTTACATTCCCTTTTGCTGATGTCACACACTTCCATGTACTCTCATCACAGGATACTGAAATTTTTAGTTACCTTTGTGACACCCACTCCTTTTTAAGTGCCATGAAGCAGTTTCCCCAAACAATGGCATCCCAACTGCTGTTTAACTGAGAGTCAATCAACACATCAATAGCTCTGGTCCTTACAAGCAAAATGGGCCATCATGCTCACTTTTAACCCCTCCTTGTCTGTTATTATTGTGGTAACACAGTTATGGTAATGCAAGTATCATGTTAGCATCAGTGTTTGGGTGTGTCCCATTTGCCATAATGAGGAAGGGTGGTGTAAAAAGTCTCCAGAAGTCTGATAAAATGCAATTAGCAACATTTTTTTAGGCAAGCCTAAATTCTACATATATATACACATGTAGAATTCAAAAATCTTGAACAAATTATTCACATCAAATACATCTTTAGTTTCACACGGTCCTGGTTAAAATAAAAAAGTGATACATTTTTTTAATAGAAAATGTTAAGAATGAAACTCCTCATCTGTAAAAAAGTATTTCCTAGTATGGAACCCCTAAAATCCCAAAAGATAATTATGTTTGTGCATCAATGGAGTTATTTTTCAGTAACCTTCATTTGCATTTCTCCTTTACAGGTGCTGAAGGTGAGGCTGAATCTGCAACAAGCTGGCACCTACCAAGGTGTTGTGACATGCGCCCGATCTATTTATACATACGAGTCTTTATCCTCCTTTTACAGAGGATTCAAGCCGAGCATCCTCTGTATGATTCCCTACGCAGGTGTGGAGTGTGCAGTTCATCAGGTAAGACAGAACAGCACTCAGAAATCAAACATGTTCATCTCACAGATTTTAGATATCCCTAACTATTTGCTTCATATTTGCAGTCAATCATGAACTGGGCGAAGAGTGATCCAGCCTACAACAGTGACTCCAAACTGTTTTTCTTCAGTTTTGTGGCCTTTGCTTCTGGACAAATGACCAGTTACCCACTGGCAGTGATCCGCACTCAGCAGCAAGCACAAGGTAAACACTATGTTCTGTGACACATTTTGAGATTATTTAAAACTATTTGAGATGTTTTACTCATCGCCATTTTCCTTTTTTTGCAGCTTTCAGTTCAGATTCACGTTCAGCTTCAGGTGTGTTAGAAGGACTCAGAGGGATATATGAAAAACGCGGGATTAGAGGATATTATAATGGAATGGGAGCCAGTTTCGTCAGGGCTATTCCATGTGCTCTGATAAACTACACTTTAACTAGGAAATTTGAAAATCTGGTTTCCTGAGCCAAGTCTTGAGATGTATCAGAGAAGAGGTTGCTTTCTTGGGAACTCAAAGAAAAGAAAAACTGTGAATTAATGTTGACTGAGTGTCTGGAAAAAGCACTGGAATTCTGGAAAAACTGGGAAAATGTCTGATGACATGCATTATCGTGTGATTTAACCTATAATACCTCTAGCTTTTTTAAAAGCTTGAGTTAAGTGAACAGTTTACAACTGACCAAAAATATGAGACATGCTGAAGTTTTTAATTCCATGCACCTCACTGATGCATGATTTACTGTAAATTCACAATGTGACAAATATATTAATTGCCCACTTGATACTGGGCTGTGTAAATGAGGATGTGTTGAAGTGTGAGCTGAACATTAAAATGTTATTTCATTACAGGGGTCTTGTCCTTATTTTCTATTCATTATCAGTGTTATAAATGTATGTGTTTCTTTGTAATGAGTTTGAACTGAGTGTGTCTACAGGTGTGCCAAACATCAAACATTTTCTTTTTACAAATAAAGGCAGACACTAGATTTTAAAGTGTTATGATAATTGGTAATCACTTATCTATGTGCACAGCTTATAGAAGGGCAGCTAAGTTTGGGAAAAAAACATAACATTGTGTGACTATGTGAAATTTATTTTAAAATTTGTAATATCAAGTATCAGAATGAACATAACAAAGCTGTAAAGTACAGACTAACTCAACTCTCAACAAGTTTTATTTATATAGCGCCAAATCATAACAAAACAAACACTTTTCATTTGGGGTAGATCAAGCACCATACCCTTTATTATAATTTAAGCATAACAATTCACAACTGCAGTCATAGATGCAATACATTACTAACTACTTTTTATTACAGAATTTGCTACAAAAGGGTATCAGCCTCCGATAAATACAAGAAATTCTATATAGAGGTGGGAAAGTAAATAAGCATATTTACTAGAGTGTACATAAATACAGTTTAGAGGTACATGTAGGTTACTTAACTAGAGGTCAGGAGGGAAATGTACTTTACTCTATTTATTTGACTGCATAAAGGTTTTCATGCAATGCACAGCCCAGACTGTAACAATCTACAATATTCAAAGATCTGTATTGTTATTATAATCCAGTAATATAGCCTGTCTGACAGGAACAATTCTGCCTGTATTTGCTTTTATGTACAATATTACTAAGTACACTTTTCAAGTACTGTACTTCAGCACAATTTTGAGGTACTTGAACTTTACTTGAGTATTTGTTATATTTCAAGTCCACTCCAGTGAAGAGGGGAATGTACTTTTTTACTGCACTACATTCAGTTGACACCTTTTTTTTCTCAAATTAGTCACTTTGTAGATTCAGATTTATTATACAAAATATATCAACAAATAAATAATCATATAGGCTATTATTATTATGGGTTAAGATGAAGCTTTGTTGATCCCTTGGTAATGTCGTGAAATCGTAGTCAGATTGCAAACTAAAACCTTTGGATAGCAGCGTAAACAAGCATGACTGTTATCGCGAGAGGGCATTTGACCGCGGGTTTTCCCGTCCAGATCCCGTGAATGTAACCGGCCATCTTGTCGCGCCGAGGAGGAGAAGAGCAGCAGATATGGCTGACTACAGCAGCGTGGCTCCCCCGTCCTCTAACGCCGGTGGCGGAATGAACGACGCTTTTAAAGACGCTTTACAGCGAGCAAGACAGGTGAGAAGACCTATGGATGAATTAAGTGTAAGAATAACTCCGGAAGTTTGGCGCAAAAAAACGAGTTTAGCTGTTTTTTCTTCCGCCGTTAACACACGGCAGCACGGCGGGCTATGCTAAGCTAACGATGACTAGCTGATGTTACGCCACACGGCAAAAACGAGAACAGATGTGAAAGCAAAAGTGACTATAGCCGAATGTACAGAATGCATTAGACAGATATAATCAGTCATTGGAAATACATGCTTTGTAGGTTTAATGGCATAACATAATTATTTTAAGTAAGGATGTATTCTCGTTTCTTTGTTGGCTCAGACTTCCGGACTGAAGTGAAGGCCGCAGCCAGCGTGCCCGTCCAAACGCGTCAAACACGATCAGCCAAGGAATCATCTTAAATTGTCGTTTTCTTTTTATTTTGTGTTTCAGATCGCAGCGAAGATCGGTGGCGATGGCGTTGCGGCACCCCCATCAAACGAATTTGGCTACGGGGGCCAGAAAAGGCCCCTGGAGGACGCTGGTGGGTATTTTCCCATGCCTAACCTGAATATCGGTCAGTGGCTCAAATCGATTCAATGCAAGTCTTGATAGTTAATGCTTGCCTGTATGTTTTAGCAGAGTTGTGTTTACTTAGACATGTTCTTAACTCAACTACATCTAAAGTGATACTGTTTTTATGTACATGTGTATAATCATTAATAAATCTAACATTTCCTATATTTCTACTAACCATATTTAATGTTATGTTAATGTTTTTTCTCTTATTAAGCCAGTGCAGTATGTTGGTTATTGCATGTGTTGAGAGTTGGATAATATTTTCACTGTCTTCACAGCTGTTTCAAATCAGTATCTTGTAGCGATGAAATTGTGTTAATATTTGGGAAACTAACATGTGATCTTATGATTTGATGACAAAATCTTTGGGTGGGTGATGGGAATTTTGAGAGTCCTTATACTTTCTGAGCAGGTTGGGTCATTGTTGGTTTCTGCTTTGCTTTGCTAAAACAGCCTTAAGTAAATATTTAGAAATTTGCACCATGAGCTCTGAGTTTCCAGTTCATTTGGTACACTTAAGCAAAAAGAAATGAAGTCTAAAACAGCAATCCTGCAATATATCCTACATTCATGAAGGTCGTAATGCCAAATCAAACTTAAAACCACATGTAACTTCAAACTAAAGCATGACCAAGATGATCTTCAGGAGGTATGATTTATTGCACGACTGTTGATTTGGACTGCATTAGTTTTCACCTTGTAAACCTGCAACTGAAAGTATATTCCACCCCTGTATGTTTGGTGGTGGCTGTGCAGGCCTCTCCTGTTTATCCTGACTGTTTAAACTTCAGGCAGTGTTGATAAGCCACTTTAAGATTGTAGAACACGTTTGGTAATGTGATGATGGGTATAATGATAGATACTCATACTGGTTACTATGTTATGTTGTCGCAGACCAACCAGAGACGAAGAAAGTGGCAACTAATGATGGTAAGTGACCCGGTGGTGTAGTGGTTAATATATGTGGCTGTAATTTGTGATAATTCCCTGCTTAAAGTAATTGGCAGAGAAATTAGCATGAATTGAAAATTTGTTATATGTGCTTAACTTGTATTTGTTGTATATTTCTACTCTTAATTTACTGTAATTTCTCTTTCTGCAGCCTTTTCAGGAATGGGAGGAATGGGTGGCCCCCCAAGGTAGATACTAGAATTGAAGTTAAAATATTTTTATGTCACATATCAAACACATTTGCCCACTTATTACAAACCTAATGTTGATTTGCTCTGTTATTCCAGGTCAATTTCAGAGGAATTCAAGGTTCCAGATGGAATGGTTGGATTCAGTAAGTCTTTAAGAGAATAAACAAAGAAAGCAGTTCAGTCTTGTTGAGATCGAATATTGTGAGGTAACACACTTTTCCCCCTCTAGTTATTGGAAGAGGAGGTGAACAGATATCTCGCCTGCAGCAAGAGTCTGGATGTAAAATACAGATTGCACCTGGTAAGTTTAGATCTGTCATCTGTACATCTTAGTAATAGCAAGACAAGATGTTTTGGTTATTCTCGCAAGATTTGTGTTAACTGCATTGTCTCTGTGATGTAGACAGTGGAGGAATGCCTGACAGGTCGGTGACATTAACAGGAGGGCCAGAATCCATCCAGTGAGTAAACATCTGCTTTCATTCAGTGGTCTCCTTCATTAAAAGTCTTTGTGTGAGGTCCAGGTCAGGGATTTCATGATGTGTATGATGGTCATTATTCTCATCAGGGCTGCAAAGAGGTTACTAACAGAAATAGTTGAGAAGGGGCGTCCGGCTCCAGCATTCAACCACAATGATGGCCCGGGAATGACTGTCCAGGAGATTATGGTCCCTGCCTCAAAAGCCGGACTCGTCATTGGCAAGGGAGGAGAAACCATCAAAAGCCTTCAGGTGAGTGTCCAGTGATTCCAGAGTGATAGTGACCACAATCACTGCCTTTAAGCAGGGTACACATTTGGCACAGAGCCACCCTGATGGCATGTTTTTTTGTTGTTCTTTTCTCAATGTAGGAAAGAGCTGGAGTGAAGATGGTCATGATCCAAGACGGACCCCAAAACACAGGTGCAGACAAGCCACTCCGTATTTCCGGAGAACCTTTTAAAGTTCAGGTGAGTCCTTGTTTACGTGACCAGTGCACTCACGACATTATAGAGTTGTTCCTTTTTCCATTAATTACATATAAGTAAATCCATGACCCTTAATATCCCTCATTTGTCTCCATGGAGACAGTGGAGTAGTCTATAATGAGATGTACTTTCTTTTTTCTTCAGCAAGCCAAAGAGATGGTGATGGAGCTGATCAGAGATCAAGGCTTCAGGGAGCAGAGGGGCGAATATGGTTCAAGAGTTGGAGGAGGCGGTGGAGGAGGAGACAGCTTAGATGTGAGTGGAATAATTTATCTCATTTATCCTGTTGAACATGAGGGGTTGAATCAGTTTCTTAACTTTGGTTATATTTTTGTCATGTAGGTTCCCGTCCCTCGGTTTGCAGTGGGAATTGTTATTGGCAGAAATGGAGAGATGATCAAGAAAATACAGAATGACACTGGTGTCCGGATTCAGTTTAAACCAGGTGAGTGATTAAGAAAAATAACTGAGAAACAACCATGGTCTAAAGCCATTCCATGTCATTTGGACATAGTTAAAAATGTGTATGGTCCGTGATGAAAACTCATGCACCACGCTGAGAAGCTGATGTATAACCCTAACCCTAAACTTGTCTGAGACCTGAACACAGAACTAAGTGATAACATTTTATCCCAGCAAGATAAGCTCTGTCTGGATAGTCTCTCATCACCCTATTTTCCTCCTTCCAGATGACGGCAGCACACCAGACAGGATAGCACAGATCATGGGCCCCCCTGACCAGGCTCAGCATGCGGCAGAAATTATCTCTGATCTTCTGAGGAGCGTCCAGGCCGGTGGGCCTCCAGGACATGGCGGTGGAAGAGGTCGTGGTCGTGGGCAGGGGAACTGGAACATGGGCCCCCCTGGTGGCCTGCAGGAGTTTACCTTCACTGTCCCAACCATGAAGACTGGCCTCATCATTGGAAAAGGCAAGTCACCCTTTAACAGTATTAAGTTTGACATATCTGGTCAAAGGTTTAAAATACACAGACTTCACTCCTTTTGGAGA